TTGGCAGTGATTGCATCCAAGCTGTGAATAGTTTCCGAGTGTCTGCTTGGCCTTGGTTTTACAGCTGCGTATAATTTGTAGGCAGGTTTTTATGTGTGTGTATGGCTGCCAGATGTATAGCCTGAGCTGGTGACTTACATCAGTTGCATGTGTACTGATGAAATGTGGTTCCTAAGTGCTGCAACTCAACCCGTAATAGTCTGTGAAGTCTCCGGCTTATGCTGTCGTACATAAAGCTGAATTTCAAGAGCTGGTTTAAAAAAAAAAAAATTCATAGGAACAAAATGAGCTGGATTTGCAGTAGTTTCTACTCCAGCTCTAAGCTTTGTTGTGGTCTCCCTATTGTTTGCTTCTGCTTTTCAGGGTAACCACAGGTAGTATTAAGAGCTTAATCATCCAAAAGGATGACTGAAAAGTATGTGATTGGTGCTTTAGCTGTGTGATGCTCTGTCGTGCATTTCGGACAGTAAGGCTTTAGGTCCTGAAGCTTGCTGTTATCAGCTGTTTGCCTCCAAACCTACAGGTGGGGCAGGGTTGGCACTGTCAGTGGATTTATTCCTCATCCCCTGTGGACACGGGGGGGGGGAAAGAAGCCACAGATGAGGCTTTTTATGCTTTTCCTTCCCACTTTATTCTTGGCTTCTTTGGCTTTTCTACTGAAAAAGCTCTGCATTCAAGTATTGATAGGGATCAGAGACTTGTGAGAAGCTGTTCAGCCCCCAAACTCCATCTGCTTGGGTTTTTTCTTATACACTAAATAAAGGCAGAGATAAAAATCTCTGCTTGGCACCCACTGGAAATTCTGCTTAGAACCGATTACTTGAGCAGAAATAGCAAAACAAAGGCTTTTAGTAGAATTACATCACCAGCCTGAATTCTTCAAAGCTTTCAAAAGCATCTTCAAGCTGCGCTTGTGAGGTGTGACGCAGCGCAGCTCGGAGCAAAGGTGTCACAGTCCTGAAAGCCTTTTCATGCCTGATGTCTAAATCAGCACTGCTCAGGTATTGAGATCCCTTCCTCCCTGTCGAGCGACGCTGGGGCCTGGGGAGAGCCCAGGAGCCATGGGTAGGTGAAGGCTGCCAGGTTCCCTGCCCCTGGCACGTGTTGCTCTGCCATGAAGCTCACGCCAGGACTCGTGTAAGTAAAGCTGCACTTACATAAACTGTGGAGAGAGAAGAACTCGGTACTGAAGTGGGCAGTACCTGCACACGTGTAGGAGGGGAATACTTAATCTGAGAACTCCGACTTTAATGAAAGATGTAAATTTAAAATTTCTTCTCTTGGACCAGCTTGTAGGGGGTGGGGACCAGGTTCTAGGTCTGAGATTTTCATTCCACAGTTCCAGCTGGGGGAAAAACAAAACCAAAACCACTCGCAGCTGCTGGGCACCTTCAGTTTGTATCACTCCTTGGATTGATTTTTCTCAACTCAAAATGAGTACTTTGTGCTGCTCCCATGGCAGAAAATAGGGTCATCAAGGGAAGAACTGTCGCCCCTCCCTGAAGAAAAGCTAATTGGCAAAGATGAGGAGGAGTTGGGGGGAGAACACGATTGAAACTTGACAAGCAAAAGTCGTTTTCCATCTGCAGAAGGAAGAAAGCATCCAAGCTAATCAGCGGCGGGGGGGGAAGATTTCCCTTCCAAAACAACCAACAAAACTAAGTCAGATTTCAATTAAGGTTTGAACCGACTTTTCGATGTGTAGGCTGTTCATCCCGTTGTGTAATAGCGAAACATCTTGGAGCAGAAGCTTGGCGTGCTTCCTGCTGTACGCGCCATCGCAGATGAGGCCCTTTATCAAAAGTCAGTGTCTGTTGAAGCCAGAGATTGCTTATTTTTCTTCCCTACAAATGTGCCCAACTGATCAGACTGTGCTGAGTCCGGATCGTGAGGAGTGCCCGCGGTAGCCCTTCCCAGCACTGGCTGTGCGTGCTCTCGCACGTTAGCACCGTCAGCTTGCTGATACGCGGCTGGTACCTTTTTTTCCTTAAGGCTGAAGCTGCGGAGATGGATGGATTTCAGGCAGATACCGAGGAAGATGAGGAAGATGATGACTGCATGATTGTGGATATACAGCCAGGCAAAGGTGAGAAAATCAATTGATGGCAGGCTTTTGGCAGGCGCTCGCTCCCACAAGGGAGAGTGCGACAGTGGGAACAGCGTGTGGCTAAACCTGTTGCAGTTTTTCTGCCGCTTTTTTTCACCCAGCCTTGTGCTTTTCTCTCTAGATGTTTTATTCTAGGTACTTCTCTGCTTTTTATGTTTTATTCTAGATGCTTCTTTGCTATTTACGGCCTTCTCTAACTTGCTCTTGCCTTTTCTTCCCTCCTCCCTCCAATTGACTAAATAGCACAAGGTGCTTGGACTAGCATTTGGCTGCCAGTGTTACCTTTTTTTCTGGTAAGAAAAGCGAACGTTGGGGTCAGGATCAGCAGATCCAGTAACTACTGGTAAATGTTGCTGAGCAGGGCAGGTCTCTGGGGCGTGCGTACTTATGTTCAGAGCCCTTCCAGGACTGAGAAGGTCTGGACCGTGACTCCCCTCTGCTGCCTTCTGGAAGTCTTAGGTGCACGCTGAATTGTCTGAAGGAAATAACATCGGATAATAACCAAGCTCTCAGATGTTTGAGAGGTGAGAGCTCTGACCAACACTTTGCTCTAGAATCTAAGCAGTTGCTTATATTTGTGTCCCAGTTCTCCCTTGGAAAAGGGCTTTCAAAGCTCCGCTGCTATAGTGTATCCTTTCAGGCTACAGATTCAGAAACAGTGGGATGAGGATGTGGAGCGGCTCCTTTCATCTCAGTGAGGGTTTAACTATACATACTTGATCATACAGATCAATGACTTAACACCAACCACATGATGTGCATTCAGCTCCTCTAAACCGCTTTCAAAACCTCCGAGCTCTTTCTTACTGCTCTCACAATAGAGCTCTTTCACAATGCCACTGGCACAACCTGCATTAAGGAAAGTGGATTTTTTTGTGTGTTGGGCAGCTCCTCTAATTGAGAGATAAGGGCTCGTGCATTTTCCCAAAGCCCTAAATTCTGTAGAGTGTTTGACCCATTCTAGGCGTATCTGGGTTCTCCTTTCTATCTCAGCTGGTGCTACATTCCTCCTCTTGCTTTCCGTAACAGACAATATAACTGTTTGACAAGAAGCTTTGCATTTAATCTTGAGCTGCTTTTGCTTATTACGAGACTGCAGTGAGATGAAAGCCTTGCTTCAGGTTTGTAACCTCTCGTTCTGAGGATGGGGATGCTATTCAGTAGCTTGCCTCTCTCAGGCTTTGTTGACACACATGCAGCTGTATTTGTTTAAGTCTGCTCGAGTCTAAAGCACTGAAAAGATTACGAAGATCCTTTTTACGGTTGAAGTAATTTTATTCTGGATTGCTGTTAACCCAATATTAAAACCAGTTTTTAAATAGTATTGAGAAGGAGACTTGCGAGAGATACGGGCAGACAAGCTAAGACAGATAAAGCATATAGTAGTCAAATTCTACTAGATCAGTGAGGATATTTAAAAAACCAGCCAAACAAACAAAAAAAAACCCAAACCCAAGACATTTTCTACTTTGCAGATTCTACATTGGCAGCTACTGAAACAGCTTCAGAATCCAGTGGCACGAGAGCCGCTCACCGGGACACCAGCATGGTCAGCCCATCTAATGCAGTTTGAGACTTAAATGCCTACTAACTTCTCTGTATGTATGTAGAATGAGTTAGAAGATTTTAAACCTTGTGTATCTTTGAACAAGATACTTGAAAGTATTCCATATTTCTTGTAAAGAGAAGACAGCACTTTGTTCTGCTTCAGACCAGATGGAAGCTTAAATTTTTAGTTCTAGTTTTTAGCTTAAAAAATACTGCATATTAATCTGTCCTTAATAAAGCATTATTGAAATTTTGATACTTCTTTGTAATGGAAGGTATCTAAGTTATCTCTAAAACTAGTGGAGGGATTTTGAAATAAGCTTATTGTGATGCCACTGGGGGAATTACTCTGTTCATAATGTTGTATAGCATGGCCTTGGGTATAAATGATGTACAATTATATTTGAATTTATGCTATCTATATCATCCTGTTTGTGGTCTTACTTGCTACAGAGAACAGCAGCAGGGCTTTACCTTTGGAAAAGGTAAAAAAACGCAGGTTGTTTCTCCTACTTTGGGATAGGCCAGGACTAATTACATCTCGGGGGTAGATTATCGGTCTCCTGTACACATTGCTACAACAGAAGCTGTACACGTAAAAGCTGGCTTCTGCCCCACAGAAAAACTTTAAGATTGAAGTATAAAGGACTGAACTGGCATCGGACTTGTTTACGTACGTAACAAACTTGCTGGGGCTTTTAACTTTATATGGCTTGCGAGTTGATGATTTAGTTCCCTAAAATACTGGCTGTAGTTTGAGGCTTAATCTCTCACCAGTGGGCAGCGTAAATAGCTGTTGCCTCTTGTCAGTCCCCTGGTCTGTCTGCAGGTGCTGTGAAGTGAAAAGGTAACGCCACAGCTGCACCAGTAACACCAGTGCCAGCCCCAGCACCAACTGGAGCTCGTCTGCATTTCAGACCTCTAAGAGCAATGCAATTCAAGTAACTTTGAACAGAACTGAGTCTTTAAATATTCCATTTAATCAGACTAAGCATAATTTTATCTAAATATATTCTCTCCAATAGGAGTTACAGTGCACACAGAAGCAAAAGGAAAAGCTGAGTTCTAAGCCCAGCCTGATATCCAGGCTCAATCGATTGGTAATCCAGCCTAGTACTAGCACCTCATCCCTCCTCCAAGGGAGGAGAGTGGTGCTTCTTCATGGTCTTGGAAACACCTCAAGCAGTCACTGCTAAACTTGTTTTTTTAAAGCCATTCAGAGCAGTCCTGTCAGTGTCTTACTGGGCAAGATTGCCTTAGTGTATGGCTACTGGAGTGGTGGAGGTGACTGCAAGGTTGGTGTGACATGGCAGAATCTAGACTCCTGCTCTGCAGAGCTACAACAAAGTCATTTCTGAGGTCAGGTAGCTGGAAGCTCCAACAGTCAGTACGGGAAAATGAGGGAACAGTCTAAAACCACCAGCACTGAATCCACTCCCCTTTATTTCATGACAGCGTCTGGACTCTGGAGAGAAGTTCTGGTTTCAGGGGGCTTGCTGGCTGCTCCTCTCCCGACGCCTGGATGTCTGCCATGACTGCTGCGTCCCAGGCCAGAGTCAGGAGGGCTGAGGGCACCTGGAACAGAAGAGGCTGTGTTATGAAGCTATAGCAATGTTATACTTTGACCTCATAACATGCTGTGTATGTTCACAGACCTGGAAAAACTTAGCAAGAGCACTCCAACTAAAAAGGACAAGTGTGGATTTCTGCAAGAAGCTCCCTAGGGGATGCCGCTTTGGGCTTTCTGTTGGAAGCCTTGTGCTAGAGCAGCGTTTGCCTCGCAGTTGGTGCCTTCCCTCTTTTCCCAGCGTGGACGCTAACCCTGTGATAAGAGCTGCTGGCAACTCCTATGACCTGCATTTGCTACAGGAGGTAGGGCCTTGGGCTTCCTTCCAGACCTCCTGCCTTCAAGCAGTCACTTCTTTCAGCTTAAAAAGAAGGGGCCAGAGCACAACTCACAGCACTGAGGGCAGAAGACACAAACTTCTCTAAGTTAGGAGCTGTAGAGGACTCTGCCAACCCAAAGACCCCTGTGGAAGGTACCAGCTGTCTTTTTTTCTATTTTATACTCACCAGCCCACATTCATTGAAGGCCAAATTCTCATCAGTCAGTTTGAGACCTCCGGGTCCCAACAGCTCAAAGGGCAGCCAGTCATCTCTGAGCGCTTCTCTTACAAAGTTGTAGAGCACAGATACTGATTCTCGTGCGTAAAAAGTCCCTGCCAGGAGAAAACAAGGTGAGAGATTGAGAGAGAGTGTCTGGCATTTACCAAATCTAACCTTTTTGCGGTAGGTTTCTTGGGGCTCGCGTACTGATGCAAACTTTAGGAACTACTTCAGTGACACAGAAACAGCCTTGATTCAGCTGAGAAGTATAAAAGCAGAATCCCCAAAGAAAAATATTACTTCAATTGTTGCAAGCCCCTGCCAGCTTGTAACAAAGAGTTGGGAAAGCCTGAAATGATTCCAGAGTTCTACTGCAAAATTTGAAGGGGATTTATACTGTTGTATAGCCTGACACCACACAGGCAACCTCACGCTGGTTACTCTAACAAACCGCTCTAATGAGTCCGGCGTGCTCGCGGTAGCCTGGGAAGAGCACGCTTTAATTAACAGCGCCTTGAGATTCTTCCCTCTCCACTCAGCCCTGGCTTAGAGTCCCAACCCTGTGCGGGTGAGGCAGGCGGAAGGCTCAGAGATGGGAAGAGTTCTTAGAGAAACATTACCCCGCTCTGCTTTTTGTTGCTTTATTCTACCAGCTGCGTTCAACACACCTCAAGCCTGCTTATTATTCAAGCTCTTGCACTACAAGTATTCTCAGAAGCTTTTGGGGGGTGTACAAAGACGAGGTAAGAAGTCTTTTACCTTGGAGGATGTATCCGTCGGGAAACCGGACTCGCACCAGGGTGTAGTTGTACTTCCGCATTTCCCTTTGTTCTTCTTTCTCTCGCATGGCTCTCGTCCTCAGCATCGAAGCCTTCTCCACTGCTTCTGTCCTTTAAAGAGAAGGCCATTTTTAGTGTGAAGGAGAGGTACAAGACTCTCGGCTGGCACTGTGCGCCCCTGGGCAGCCAGGGCCCTCCTCCGAAGCCTACTCACCGGAGCCGTTGCTCTCGTTTGATCTCTTCTGCAGTGAGGTTGTAAAAGTCATTTGGCAGCTCAAACCGAGCCGCTTCGGGTGATGGTTTAAATACACAGAGCTGGCGATCCAGCTGGGCCCTCACCGGCTCAGAGCTTAGAAGCTGTTCTTTGTAGTCCTTGAGGTCTTCCAACTTGGTCAGCATTTCTTCCTTCAGCACATAGTACTCCTCTGTGGTCTCTACAACCAAAGGGACAGGATTTGAGTCTCTTGTTCTTTACAGGAGTAATGTATGAAATACAGGGGCAAGGATCTCCAGAAAATGTAATGTCTTAACAGGGAAACTGCAGGGTGAGCGGCTGTTTCTGTCACAGCTGTTGTTGCAGCCTGTGGAGCGCTCTCGACAACCAGCGCTGCCTCGCTAGCCTCCCCTGGGATCTCCCACCACCACCAAACTCCTGACTCCGGTTTAATACACTTAGATTTCTTGCCTTGTCCTGGAACAGGCAGTGTTTTTGTTTCAAACCCAATAGCCTGGAAAAATCTGTGTATCCCTTCCAGGCAGCTTATCCTTTCCTGGAAGAAAAGGAAAGAATTTAGATGTGGTCTGCTCCAGGCAAGGATGTTCCTAGGCAGAGCACCTGCAGGAGTCTTGACCTCACCTGAAACACTTTGTTCTGCAGTTTGATTTTCTGGTACTTCTCCTCCTCTGGATGGAGATAGATATTATCCAGGTATCTGCAGAAAGAGGAATGCACTGCATGGATCAAAGCCGGCACTTCAGGACACACTACCCCAAGGTGTAAGAAGAGACTGAAAAACCTCATAGAATTTCTCACAAAGAGCTGAAAAGCTGAGGAAAGTAAAATACATCAGTGTTTCTTGCCCATGCCAGAGAGAAGATGGGGGTGGCTGATCTCAACCAGCAGCTCCCCAACCCCTTGGACGAGTGGACCAACTCTTACAACATCTGAGATGCTGACCTTATTTCGTAACTAACGGTTAAGACTGTTTGAGTGTTCGGCTTTGGTTTTCTTCTGACTTTGCCTAGTTGCAGCAAGAAATCCACCTGCCTGCTAGCCTTCCACGGAAAGGACAAGCTACCTGCGTGCTCGGGCCTACTAGCGCAGCCCACGTACTTGGCCATGGTCTCCACGCCCGCTCGTACTTTCTCCCGGTCCTTATTGAAGGTGTGAATCTCCATGATCGAGGCAGCCACCGGGTCTACGGAGAAATACTGGGGGAGAAGGAGAGAAGCTGGTGTTATTCTGCACAAAGGGAGGTGTGGGTCTGTCGTGGTTTAACCCTGACCAGCTCAGCACCACGCTCGTTCCCCCCGCAGTGGGATGGGGGAGAGAATCAGAAGGGTAAAAGCAGGGGAAAAAAAATCCTAAAGCCAGGTTAATAGGTAAAGCAAAAGCTGTGCGTGCAGGCAAAGCAATTTATTCACTGCTTCCCAGTTCAGCCATTTCCAGTGTGTCATCACCATTGTTTTTATCACATGACAGCACCATCCCAGCTGCTATGAAGAAAATTAACTCTGTCCCAGCCAAAACCAGTACAGGGACAGAGTTCCCATTCCCAGTCCCAGCATTTCCAGCAAGCCGAAGGGAGGGTGCTCGGACAGGCATTTCTACATCTGCAGCAGAACAGAGTTGCCCTTGGGGAGACGGTGGAGATGTTACAGGGAGAAGGCGGAGGGGTGGAGAGGTTGCTGCTGCCGTGCTTGAGGGCACCTGCGCCACAAACCGAGTTCAAACAGGAGGAAGGGAAGCGGCACAGCGGGCAGAGGTGGCGCTTACCGACTGGATGGCTTCCCTGATGTGCTTCTCCTTCTCGTCTTTCCTCACGACCGCGCCGGTCAATGGGCAAACGAAATAGACCCCTGAAACAGAGGGGGCGGCTGCCCCTTCCTCGTCCGGGGATGCAAGGTCCTAAAGGAGACAAAGCCAGGCACTGAGCTGAGCCCAGGAAGGTTTTGTGGGGTTTTTTTGTTCTTAAATATGCTGGCACAGCTGCACAGGGGAGGAACTGCAGCGCAGAAGGGTGCTGAGCAGGGAACAGCCCTGTCTCTCCTACCTTTTCCTCCGCAGGGAGCCCTTTCCCGCTCGCGGCCGCCTCGGCCATCAGCTCTTTTCTCACTACGAGAGACAAAGCCGGGTTACGGCGGTGAACAGGGTGGAGGGTCAGCGGGTTCCGGAGGGCTGGAACCTACCCTGGTTCTTGATGGCCTCCTGGGAGGAGGGTGCCTTGGCCTTGGGCTTCAGCTCCATCCGGGCCAGCGCCGCCGCCGCCGCCATCTGCGCCTCATCCGTCGGTCCCTGGCGGGGCTTCGGCGCCGCTTCGGCTTTCGGCTTCTCCTTGGGGACCCTGGGCAGGAGGCAGCGGCAGAGCTCAGTGGGCGGCCACCGCACCGGGACGGCGACGGCTCCACTACCGCACCGGCCTGGACCTGGCCACAGACGCGGGACGGTCGTTACCGGGCCGGTGCCCTCCGGGGAGGAGGCAGGCGGGGAACCGGTTGCCCCGGGGCGGCTGCCCCCCCGCCCCGTGAGCGGCGGCCCACCCGGGGCGCGGGGCG